GAGCCCACTTCCTGGTTCACAGATACCTCTTCTTGCTGTGTCCTTAAATTATGGAAGGAGTGAGGGAGCTCTCTGGGGTCCCTGTATAAGAGCACTAATCCCATTCACGAGGGCTGCATCCTGGCGGCCTAATCACCTCCCAAAGGCCCCGCCTCCTCATACTATCACACTGGGCGCTGGGGTTCAACATGAATTTGCTGGGATTTGTGGGTGTCAGGCACACAAATCTTCAGTCCATAGCAATCCTGGACCAGAAAGACAATGTTAGAGGGAAAAACAGTGAAATCCAAATAAGGTCTGTATATTAGATAATAGGATTGTATTGATGTTAATTTCCTGGCTTGTTACCGTAGTGACTTAAGATGTTCACATGAGGGGAAGTTAGGTGAAGGGCATTAGCGAACTCCACTGTTTCTGCTGCTTTTCTGTAAGTCTAAAATTACTTCATTAATAATAATAATAATAATAATAATAATAATAATAATAATAATAATCCTTACCTCAAGAAATTGTCAGGAGGATGAACTGAGGGAATTTAGGTAAAGTTCCTACAAAATAGAATTCTGGAGTCTAGCTGTTACTGGCATTAAATGCCAATGAAGAAATCTCAGGTTTTCAAATCTCAGGCTTACAGAAGGAAATCCTTTTTTTCTATCTTTTCTTCCTCCCTCCCTTTCTCTCTTTTTCTTTCCCTTTCTTTTTTTCTTTCTTCCTTCTTTCCTTCTATCTCTCTCTCTTCCTTCCTTCCTTCCTTTTTTGCTTGCTTGCTTTTTCTTTCCTTCCTGTCACAAATTGCTTAAAATTTCAAGAAAACACCAGCGGCCAGGTCTGGAGTGTCTAGAATGAAGCCGGTTTTCCCAGTCTTTCCTAACTTGAAAGAACAGAACGCAGAGAAAACACCACAGGTCACCCCTAAGCTGAGCTCTATTGTGCTCGCTGAGGAGCTCAAATCTCCCTACCCCCCAACATAGAATGAACGTTAACTTCAGGGAGGTCACAAGGATCATGTAGGAGGCTGATGATCCTGCAGATAACCCTAACTCTAGAATTCATGACTTTCTACTGTGGTAGCCTGTCCTAAATTGGGGTACCTGCTTCTGTTGAAAAATGTCTTCCTCCTTGCAACTGGCTCCATTAGGAATTGACTCCAAATTGGAGGACCACAGTCCTGTGTTTTACACAGTACAGTTACATTGATGTCACCATATCCTCACTGCTGTGTTTGATCTTCAGCCTGTCACTGAAGGATTTGATTAACGTCCAAGTGCTGTTGCTAACACATGTATTTCAGTTGTGAATGGTTTGAGTCTCCTACTCAAGAGGGATATGTGTGTGTGTGTGTGTGTGTGTGTGTGTGTGTTTTCTTTTCAGAAAGACTGAGTCCCAAGCCTCTTGTTTCTCCTTTTTCCTTTTTGCCTCCAAACAAAATCCACACCGAAGGGATTAAAGAAAAAAATCATTCCAAAGATGCCTGCTTTCCAATCATGACATGAAGCCTAGCAGTCCTAAAGGGCAAAGATTTGATAATACAGATACTAAAACGATTTCTCTCTCCATGGTCAGGACACGGTAAACAGGGTGGGTGTGGACGTAAAGGGAGGGCATGAAGGAGCTCCTTTGTGGGGAATAAACAGCTCTGTATTTCGACTGTGGTGGCGCTTACAGGAATCTGTACAGGTCACAAAATGGAGTAGAACTACACACACAAAAAAAAGTGCGTGTGAAAGCTGATAAGCCTCAAATTAGGTCTAGTTAATTACCTTGTATTCACGTCCATTTCCCGGTCTGACAGTGGACTAGGGTGAGGTAAAATGTAAGCTGGGTGAAAGGTATGCAGGACTCTGTACTGTTTTTGCAACTCCTATGCATCTATAGTTAGTTAAAAAAAAAACCACCATAAACATGTTTGAAAGGCAAGTGACATACTGAGAAGATAACTGCAAACACTATGACAGGGTTTTATGTCCATCGCTTACAGGTTCTTGCCAGTTAGGGAGGAGGTGAGCACTTCCACCAGGAAAGGACTCGAGCCTGAATACAGACAACCTGAAACAGTGCCTGGACCCTCCTGCAGACAGGAACCCCACCAGTACTGGGGAAACATGTGGTCCTGTATCAACCTGGAGGAAACAAAGGCCAGTTAACCTGCCCCTCCAAGACCAAGACCTGCTTCCAGCAGACACTTGTCCTCTTATAGCTGCCCCTCATCCATCCCCCTTGTCCCTTCCCAGAGTATTGACTGAGCAAGGCAGGGGTAGTAAGTCCCGGTGAAAAGTTCCGGCTTGAGCTGATTGCAGGTTGACAGCTGCCAAGCCTCCCAGGGCAACCCCAGTGCCCCCTTTCTCACCAGTTTTTGTCATTCTGTGATTTGTGCTTAGTTCCCTCCCCACGTTATTTCACAGCGGATTGAGGGAAAGATGTCTTGTTTCTGAGATGGTTTTAAACATGATTGGCTGAGTTTCCTACCTGTAGACATTTTAAAATCAGCAACACCGTTCAATTTCCAACATATATGACCATGGACTGATTTCTTTCATATATAAAGAGTGTCTATGAATCAGTGAGGCCAATGTATGCAACATGTATGATGAGAGACTGGTTTCCTTCATATATAGCGTCTATAAGTCAATGAAGCCAATTGATCAAGAGAAAGATGCGCAAGTGATTACTAGTTAACAAGTGTCTTGAAGCATGAACATATTTGCACACATGAAAGAAATGTGAGATGCCATGTTTCACTCCTAAGACTGGTAAAAATAACAGGTAGTACTGAAGGAATGGAGGAACCGGCACACTTTGCCAAGAGGTCTGTACATTGAGGTGTTCTCTTTAGAAGGCAATTTGGCAATAGTCTTCAAAATTAAAAGTAAAATGCCTTTTGATAAACCCTATAAACTCAAACATCTGCCCAAAACAAGGCTATTTGTTGCAGGATCATTGATACTAGGGGTTGGCCAGTTACAGCCTGTGGACCAAGTCTGGCCAGCTGCGTTGTTTTGTAAGTGAAGTTTTCTTGGCACACAGCCACGCCCACTCATTTACATTTGACCTGTGGCTGCTTTTGAACTGCAAGGGCCGGGCTTGAGCAGCTGCAGCAGAGACTGCCTGGCTCGCAAAGCCTGAATCTTTAGGTTTACTATCTGGCCCTTTGCAGAGAAAGTCTGTTGACTCCTGATTTATACGCAAAGCCCAGAATAACCTATGTTATCCCTTGATAGGTGCCTGGCAAAATAAATTCTGGCACAGTCACAGGGCAGAGCAGAAGGCGAGTATTAAATAGACTGGGGAGGAGCTACCTCTAGGAAGGGATGGCGTGCTTTTCCTCTATGCAGCCTTTTGCACTGAAGCTTGTTTTCTTTAAGATGGAGAGGGTGATGGCACAGGCGAGGCCATCCTGCTGTTAGAAACTCAAGTACCATGAGTGCCAGTCTCCTAGGTCTCTCAGCTGTTAGGACAAACACGGAGAGATACGGCCTGCCCTCCCTGGTCCGTGTGTCCTGATCCTGAGACGAAGGAGTCAAACCTCTGGACACGGCGAAGTGCAAAACGAAGTAAGGGCCAGGCCACCCACGACAGCCGGGGCGGGGTCCCTACGTGGCACGCACCGGTCGCCTTGGGACTTCTGGGGTTGTTCTTGACGCCCTCCAGCAGCAAGTGGGTGGGGCCTCAGGCGAGGGGCGGGGCGCTCCTCCCCTTGGGCTAGCGCGGCACCGCTGACAGCGGACTGCTAGGGCCCAGTCGCTCCCTGGACCCCCCGCCCACTCAGGGAGTCCCCAGCCCCAGCCCCAGGGTTTAGAGGAACCTCAGGCGGGTGGCAACGCTTCCATCTGGAATCGTTTAATGAGTCTACTACTTACACGCATAATTATAAAAGAATAGGAATCGACAAAAATATTTTCTTTCCGTAATATGTAGAGGTGGTTCGTCTCTGGTGGGTTTTTTCTTTTTCTTTTTTAAACCCGCCCCTGGCAGAACTCTTGGCAGGGAGGAAAAGGTAGGGGTAAGGATAACCCTGAGGCGGAGAAGGTTCCACTCCCACCCCCAGAACCCCGGTCTGTGCAGGCCAGGTGGAAACGTGGCCAGATGGCTGGGCTGGGGAGGGCGCAGCAGCCGCTGACCAGCAGAGAGCCGAGCCGGGCGCGTTTCAGAACCGGCCTGAAAGCGGGGCGGGGTGGGCGGGGCC